TTGTTTGCCCGAAGGGCAAACAAACTCGCTAGTAACGCAATACTTTTGGTGGAACACGTCAAGTATTCCAGATGGTGGTCTCTGAGGTGTTCTGTAATACGTTTCCTAATGTTCCAAAGGCAGAATTGAATTGAAGTGTTCCATCTAACAAGGCGTTCCTGGAGGCATTCCTGGCGCAACACTTTTGGAACACCTCAGGTGCTCCTTTGATGTGTTCTTCACATTCCAGGAGCACAAATTCCATGGGGAGATGTTTTCAAATATTTTTTTTGCTTCAGTCAAACGTATTAACATGGAAAGCTGATGCGCCACATGGACGTACCTACTGAGTCTCCGAGTTCAAGAAAAATGTCAGGTTTTTGACAGGTGTCCTGGGGCATATTTCTGTTTCTTGACGTTTTTATTAATATTTTTTGTCCTGCCTAATTGGGCAGAAATAAATGTTGATACTTGGCACTGCAATACCTGAGGGGATGGTGAGTTCAGGAAAATTTCATGTTTTTCTGTGCATACCCACAGGGCACAGCTTTTGCTTGTGTTGGCTTTTCCAAATATATGTTTGCACCAGCTGAAAGAGCAAACGGATAAGACTGAAACTTGGTAGACACGTAGCTCTCCCAGTACGGAATTCAGTGAAAATGTTTTTTTTTTAGGTAAAAACCCCTTTACGGTGCATTTTTTGCGCAAATGTTCTGGATTCCTTTCTGATCTAATGAAAGAGAGTTCTAGAGAACGTTGAAAATTGGAAGAATCGTAGTAAAAATTTCGATTAAAATATCGGTTCGTTCTCTCATTTTTCTACATTCTTGCCATATTGAAAGTAAGTCAAGGACAGAATCACTAACCTGTGCAATGGAGCGACGGCATATGCATGTATTTGCCTTCAGGGGGTATTAAAGCAGGCCGGGTACGTTTAAAAATTATATATTTTACTTCAGGCATAGCACAGACCTAGAAAGCTGAAAATGGACATGACAGTGCCTATATTCCTAATTTCCAAAGAGTTAATTTCCTGGAAAACCTAAATTTTCAGATTATCCCTTGGGGACACTATTTTAGCGGGGGACGTTTTCAAATAATTTCTGCTTCAGCGAAACGGATTTTTTATATATTCCTGAGATAAACAAATTGAAGGAAATTCTTCATTTAGTCGCGCATGCCCCCAGGGCATATATATTTTGGTTGCTGAAAGTTCGCAGATTTTTTTACTGCCACACTGGAGGTTATTATTTTAGGGGGAAGAATCTCATTCTTTCTCGCACAATTTCGCTCAGAGAAAGGTGGTTCTTACAGTCTTGCTATAGCAGGTGATGTATTGAGGATATACCCTCATGTTACAATTCTGGGGCTATGAATAATCTCTGACTGATTAAAATTCCTAACATCAGATTGAAAATCACTTCATATAAGCAGGAGGACTCAAACTCACGATAATAAAAAAAATTGTCCCGAAAGAGCAAACAAATTCTTTAGTAATATCGGTCGAATGCATATGGACGGAAGAGTATCTTGACAAACCAAATTGTTGATATATCAAGCAGATATACGACCAATGTGAATTTTAAGGTGAGCTGCTTCATACGATCTTTCGTATTAATTTAGGCTTCATAGCAAATTCATGCTAGAGTTTCCGTAAGGAACGAATACTCATCGAGTTATTTATCGTTGCAGTTGTTTGCAGATGTTGAGTCAAGGGTACTAAAGAGGATAACGGAGCCTTCCATAACTGCTTAAAGTATACAATATTTCCTCTTACAGCATTTAATCTATCTAGCATGCCAACTGAACGTCTTAATTTTTCTCGCTACTTGCCTCATACAAGTAGTCGCAGGTAGAAGACGAATCAGCAGATAATTATTGAAGAGCTCAATAAGTAAACAAAAGAACTATGTTCCTCATATCGAGTCATTTTGACAATGGTATTTAGAACAGAACCAACCTGTATTTGAGATGGTGCTTTCTCACCCCTGCATTCAGAATTTGATTCTGTGAAGCATAATGACATACAGAAGGATGATATATATATATATATCAAAATTGTCATCTAGAACTGGGAATCAGTATACCATAATGATCCACAGACCAAAATCCAGATACACTCCCCAATAATCCTATTGGCCCCACACGGTACATTCCGATGCCCGTCAGAACCGCGAGAAATGCCATGATGAAACTGTAGCGTCGACGAAGTAGCTGCTGGAACTGATGCATGTAACCTGTGAAACCTCTTCTTTGGTATGATTCCGGAGCTCCATGGGTCTTTTCTTCTCGAGTTCTCCCCAGATTCAAATTACTCTCATGAGACACTTCAGATGATGCGATATTCCTTGGGGATATCGGATTTCCCTCATCTGCATCGAGAAAAATAATGTACGTTAATGCCGAATGATGAAATTCATATTTTCATTTCGATTAGTGTATTTTAAAAACTTGAATGGGTTGCATCGAGTTAGAATAAAACATATTAAAAATTCACCTGACCCCCTTCGATGTTTGCAGTTTGATAGATTTATGCAGTTGAGTCAATTGAAATACTTATTCGTGCGTTTTACCAGATTTCGCCAAATATTAGTTTGTAATCACGCCTGATGGTAAAAAATGCTTTAGGTCAATTAGGAGTCATGCGTTTCAATTATTTTGTAAATATGTCCTTTGATCACTATTGACTACTATGTCTGATGACTCTTAAGTCCTATGGGGTATGAAATCATATTCATGTGTAGGTGCTACGATACGAGTGTCCCACGAAATTCAAGTCTCCCTGTGAAGACTTCGAAATGAAAAGTTGTTTATCTGGATATTGCGAAATAAACAGGGCGTTTCATTTAAATTGTACATCTTTGAACGCTCATATCTCTGAGAGGACGCAACCGTTCTTTACGAAATTTGACCACAATATAGAGCAACCTTTGCCAAATTATTGGACAGAGTTTCTTAATCGCAGCACCATCTATTGAGTTGAAACACCGATTCTGACAAAACCTCTGAAACCAAGATCTTATCAACTTGATGAAATCTTTTAAAGCTAATCATTCGTTAGATAATGCCTTTATCCAGTGGTGCTGAACATTTCATGATTGTATTTCATCTCCTTACTAAGATATCAATCATCAAACCTTAGCCACTTAACCCATCCGCTTACACTTAATACTCTCAATGCCATGGATTTTTCCGATATTTTGGCCTGAGCCCCTGTTACCATCGCCCTGACGCATGAGGCCTACGGCGCAAGGCTATAACTTTTTTGGCCAGAATGCACAAGGTCGTCGAAATGAAGGTTAGGTAAACAGATGGGTCAAAGCATTTTGCAATCTGGGATAAT